AGTCATGAAGAAGTTATGCAGTCACTGAGATAAAGTTAATCCATAACATTTTATTTAAGTTTTCAAAATTTAATGAAAGCATTCAGGAAAATTAGTCAATGGATAAGCTCCTTAGCACAGACTAAAACATTTTTTAGTCTATGCTAAAAAAAGATGCATGAACACTTTTAATAGTACATTTTTAAGACCCAGTCTAGCCCAGGGTTAATTGTGCACCATTCAATGTTTATTTGGAAGATTTACGATAATTATATTCATAACTATTCATTTCAGTATGTCATTTCAAACAAGACAACCACCACACACACTTCCAGGGACATTATTCTTGATGGAAAAATTGGACTGACAATGATACTTCATGTTATTCTGCAACCTATTATTGTTTTACACATATAATCATAGAACCAACATGTATACCGTCCTGGTTACTGTACTGAATGATCAAAATAGTTACTGAAGAACTGAAGCTTTGTATATTTTTTTTTGGGTGTTACTTAGCCCTTGCTAACTGTTGTTCCCTTCCGTGCATAAATGCAATTGGGTATGACCGATATGCAAACATATGAGACCCTGAACACAACTAATGTTATTTTCTGTGTTGCTGCTACGGGTAGTCTAGTTGCTTGATACATGCCAATAATAAAGTATTACCGTAGTTGTCCGAGTATAAACCCCCTTCAAAATTTACAGCATTTTACAACAAGTAATTTATTCGTTTAGAATATACTTTCGTTACCCCAAAAACGTAGAGACCAATATTCATGTGAAACGCAGGGTTGAATGCTGTTCCACTTCGTAAACACACCCAAGAGTGATTAGTGACCCTGGGCATAACGGCTGATCCTCAAGTTAATTTGGACAATGCTAGTCGATGAAGACACTCTAGTATTGTGCACATGACGATTTGTTTCTGAATAAATTAGCATAAATTATCGCTTTGAACTAGTCATGACCTTGGTTGAATTGCAGTGCACAATAGATTATTTCATTCACATGAAGCAATTGCAGAATCGTAAATTTATTCACAAAAAAACAATGCTCAAAACACATGTACTAATTTTCAACAAAATCCATCCTTACAAGACCAAGACCTGGTTTTGGAAAGAAAAAAATGATCGATTTTGATGATCCATTATATTAATGTACTAAAGATGCTGATTTTATTTGAATGCATGTTTTCTCAGTCAGTTGTGATATTTTGTTATGATTGTTTTCACTTGTGTTTGTCAAAAGTGTATATATTGAAACCTTACCATTTCCGATTCTGGATCACTTAGCAAATTATTCGGAACACCTTTTCTCCAAGGCAGCACAGGACACCAGTTTTCAATCTAAAATAAAAACATAAGCATCACAGACGTGTTTCTAGAATGATGTATAGAGGAATGAATAATCCATAAACTGACATTGAAATAAAAACATAAGCATCACAGACGCGATTCTAGAATGATGTATTAGAGAAATGAATTATCCATAAACTGACATTGAAATAAAAACATAAGCATAACAGACGCGATTCTAGAATGATGTATTAGAAGAATGAATAATCCATAAACTGACATTGAAATAAAAACATGTACTAAAATTTACAGATAAACAAGACATAAATATCACAGACGTTATTGTACATTGTCTTAAGATACCATGAATAAATAAAAGTTACCGATAATATGTTTGATTGTATAACTGTACAAATAAGATTTGTTTAGACGGAATTTGACCAGTCCACATTTAAGACTGGTTGTGAATGCATATTAGATGAGAATTAACACATGAACTGATGAAAGCCTCAAAAAATGAAATGGCTCGTATATGATGCATGATGATTTAAAGCAACCCAGGCACATCTGAGAAACTAATGAATTTTCAATGCTTTTTGGGACAAAAATAGTTAGCATTTTGTCTATTGTCAACAAAATCTATGTGCATATGTCATCAGTCAAGGCATATTTGAGAAATGATAGTTTTTTTTTAAGTTTGATATGCATATTGTAAATCATCTTAAGGATGACCACAACAAACTAGTTAAAACATTTTAAAAAACACAACAAATTCTTGTTATTTTCTTGCAAAAAAGTTCTTTAAAATAAACAAAAATAGTGTGGTTGCCAGAACTGGTTTTCATGACTTAATGATTTTTCTATAACATTAAAAGCTCTACTCTGGTTGCTATTTTACATTGAAAATAGATCAAAATACAGGTTACCCACAGTTTTTTCATCAGACCACTTTCAAATAGGTGAACATTTCTGTGTTAATAGCTGTGTTTCTCATTAGAACCAAATTTGCTAACTGTGACTATATTCAACAAGTTTGTGGTAAATACTCTCGATTTGTAACAGACAACAAAAGATCCACTTAGGATAACAAACTTTAATTCCTTAAATCCCCTTCCATCTCCTTAATATTGATTATCAGCATAAATGTTATCTAATATTCAGTGTAACACCAATTTTTCATAATAAGTTTATCATTTGATCAGTGTTTGCAAGTTAAATAATAAACAATATTTTGGAACATAAATAACTTCATAATTTTACAGTTTTTCATTAAAATAATTTTGTCAGAAACTTGCATGTAGCCCCCAATCTTGCATTAAAGGAATTACATTTTTTATCAGGCATCAGTCTTTTAATGTTGTCCCTACTCACCTATGAACGAGAACAGGCAAGATATAAAACCACTTGTTTGTCATGTGGGATACATGCAATACACTATGGCTTTCACACATGTACATATTTCATGTATGTACATAGAAGTCTTATCATCCATGATTACACATTAGTAACAACAAGTAAGTGAAGTGAAGTTAAAATACACACACCCACCTCACTAAGGTAAATAGCAATAGAACACATTGATCCATCCACGCCATAATGCTTGTAACACGAATCTGTATGCCAGTATTTTCCCATCCACTATAGAAACGACAAAACAATAATTTTAGCATAACATTTTAAAATTGTTTTTGGGTAATTTAATTTTTAATTGGTTGCAGGTAATAATCAATTTGTCTGATAATATGAAAGATGACAGAGGTATATTTTGTAAAAGATACTTATCGTTCAAAAGGTCAAAGCTCAAAGGTTAAAAACAAACCTCACTAATATACACAATAATGAAAGATATCTTGTCCCAGCTACATAAAAACTCAGATAACATGCATCTATTGCCGCTACATAATATAATGCAGACACCTATCCATACTCAATTTACAGACAATGTTCACTGCGATATAAATTCTCTCATAGAATTAGGAATTCAATATTTAATGAAGACTGAACAATATTTGTAATTTCATGCATTAGTAAACAATTGCATTCATCAATTGCTCAACTTAAATTGCTGTGGATAATTAAAACAAGTGCACAAGAAATGTAATCTCTTTAATGAAACTTCAACCTCCACCTGTCCTTAAATTAAAATTGCAAATGCTGATAAGCTGAATTGATGAAAAAAGCAGAATCTTACATCTATTTTCCCTCTACAATGAACAAATTCTTGTAGATTCTTGTCAGAATACTGGCAGGGTAGATCAGGCTCCATGATTAAATCTGTACCAACAGAATAAAACATTTTATTTTTAAACTGACATCAAAACAATAATATTTGGAAGTGAACACATGGACCAAAAATTGCATTGCATATATTTTACACCGACTGGATCATCAAAATACAACTTATTTTGAACACAGACACAGCTCTGTTATTCACATACTAAGTGTATTCACTTTTAATACAGCAAATATGGTACATATAGACAAAATTACATGACGATTTTCATGGTAAATCACACAATCTTAATTTATGAAATTTCATTTACATCTCAGATCACTAAAAGAAATCTGAGCCCTATTGTTGTCCTATTTCACCACCTGTTCTTCTCAAAAACTCACAAAATACCGATAGTCACGTTTATAGTCTTCAATTTTCATCAGACGATAGGGACAAAAATAGTCAAAATTTTTGAGTAAAAACTGATAATTTACCCAGATTTTATCTGTTGGCTCCAAATTTAGGGCTCTTTTCTAGAAATATTGAAGAATATAAGAAAAAAGTGCAGAAAATTTTGGGCGATAACGTCTAGTGGTGAAAGATTAAGATGTTAAAGTATAACATTCTCACAATTCCTTGTGTTTCATTGTTCGCAGTTTAGTCAAAATTTGTCAAAGCACGCACACATTATTTGTGTACTTCATGTACATTAAGAAATTCTGTCAAACATGCAATTGCAAATCAATCAAAAAGTTTTGCATGAGTTGTGTTGCTTTGAATGTTGTCAATGTTTGTTAACAGGCATGTATGAATATATAATGAGCTAACATAAAATAATATCTATACTGTATATTTCTCATGATTTTTACTTTTGTCAGATATTTTAAGAGCTTTTTATATGGTCTGTTCTTTTAGTGTTCTGAATTAAAGAAAATGACCTTCAAATCATCAAATCTCAAGTTTTGCAAAAATTTGTCATTTACAGAATTGCTGATCATTAAAAGATTGATTGGTTACACAGGGCTGTATAAATCACACATTGGACCAAGAGGGCAGTATACACTTATGAGTAATGAGGACAATAGCTGTGGGGTGTACACTCCACCACTGTACCCAATCCATTAAAGGAAATATTATTGCGACAACTTTGAAGAATTATATAATTATATCTAGATCTAAACACAATAAAAGTTGTGAATCTGG